GAGAGAGAGAGAGAGAGAGAGAGAGAGAGAGAGAGAGAGAGAGAGAGTAAAGACAGTATGTTCTCCATTTAGCTCCCTCCTCCACTGTTTCTTATCCATCTTCCCATCTATAGCTCTCCTACAATAATGACAATTGGTTTATTTAGAACTTTGGAGGCTAACAAGGCACTTAAGATACTTTGCCCCTTTGAGTTTCACAACTTTGCCAGGAAGGTACTACAGGCATTGTTAGACCTATTTTGTAGAAAAGGAAACTGAAGCTCAGAGAAATCAAGTGACTTGCCTATTGTCGAGTTTTGGCAGCAAGATTTGAACCTAAGTCTTCCTAACTTGGTACTCTGTAGGCTTCACCACATTGTCTCTCCTGTAGGCCATTTATCCTGTGAACAATAATTACATAGTTCCATATTGGAAAAGAAGGTATATTAGACAGTAGCTGTTTCCCACCCCAGATTCATTCTAAATTCTAGAACACAACAGGGCATTACAACTTAAGCATCTTTTATGGAAGGCAGTGCAGTGCAGACTGAATTCATTTGTGACTTTGAACAAGTTGTCTCCACCTTCTAGGCCGTGGTTTCCTCATCTACAAAACAAATGGGTTGTACTAAAATCTCTGTAAGATCTAGCTGACACTTTATGATATGGATAAAATGAATCACAAAAATGGATCCACTGAGATCCATATTCCTATTCAAATCCTAATCAGAAATAGGAAGAGGCATGGAGCCAGATGAGCTTGGTATGGAAGAGAGTTAGGAAAAGATAAGGGAATAGAGACTTGTGAATTCCAAAGTAAGGATATTCTAGCCCTCATAGCTCCAGAGTCTCTGGGGGCAGAGGGCAGAGGGGGAGGAGGGATTAGGTTTTATAGAATTTAAACATGAAAGCAATTTTAGCACATAGAACATATTATAGTTGGAAGAGAATATAGAGATCACCTAGTTCAAATGCTTTATCTTACAAATAAGGAACTTTAGTACCAGAAGGTAGGAAGTGACTTGTCAAATGCCACACAGTAGGCAGTAGAGACACAAATCAACCCCAGCTCTTTAAATCCAACACTTTTTCCATTATCCCCAAACCAAAGATCTCCTCCCAGCTTCTGGATTTCATCTCTCTTTGATCTTACAACTCTTTGGCCTAACATAGGAGTGAGGGGCATGGACTGCCAAACTGCTCAACCAGATTTTTCCACGGGGTGCTCCCTGTTCTCTCCACCATGAATATACACCAGTATTTCCTAATCCTACCAATCAAAAGTTAAGGGACCTCTACACATCCAACTTGTTCTACTTGGCTCAAGAAGATAGAACTAGAAGCAATTGTTGGAAGTAATGGTAGCCAAAAGTGGAATGGGCTGCCTTTGCAAGGAGTGAATTTTCCATAATTGGAGGGCTTCAAGCAGAGGCTGGGTGACCTTTTTAGGGATTTTATAAAAGGGATTGCTGTTCAGGATTCCTGCTTAGGATTGGACTAGATATCTCTGAAGTCCCTTCCCACGATGAGTCTGTAACCCAGTGATTCTCCAAAACTGTGTTAGGGGATATGAAGATTAAAGCCAAGGTTTGGTGTACAGTTCACCTATTATTCCATCTCTTCCCTGAGATGAGTTAAAGAAAGGGGGTTATCCATACCTGCAATGCCCCCTGCCAACCACACTGTGTAGGGATTGGAGGTTGTGTCGTTATCAGGAGTGATCCATTCGCTGATAATCTCATAAGGGATGAAGTAGAGGCAATAGCCTGGGACGTCCCTTAGCAGCATGGCATTGGCCCCCCGATAGAGTCCCACCAAGCCCTCCTTCTGGACAATTGATGTCATACAGTGAATAGGTCCCTGGTACATAGGTCGGTTCCAAAGGTCCTTTGATCTGGGCTTTGAATGGAGGTTTGCTGCACATACGGGAGAGAGAAGATCGTAATGAATTAAATGTCATAGTCACTTACACTTACTTTGTATCATTCACTCATATTTGCCCATTTGATTTCAATACTACTCTCTGAATCTTTGCTATGACCTCACTAGAGACCTAATGGTGATTATTTATTGTACCTTTGTAACTACTGGATAATACAGCTGTAGCTTTTGTTGCTGCTGCCAAACACTGACTTTGGAATTCCTCACACCAGCACATGCCAGGAAAAACTTCAAAGAGGTTAGACTTTTGACATTTAGGGCAATGTCAAACCATTAGAATCATTTTTGAACAAACAGATTGCATCCTTCTCAATCAACACCACTTTCGAAGACAATCTTGCTAAAGATATATCCTAGGACAAACTACAACAATGTCAATGAAAGCATTCCTAAAGGAAGGAAAATCCTGAGTAGCTAAAAAAAAACAATTGAAGGTCTAGGAAAGTGATAATGAAAAAAAGAAAGTAGTCCTGACTCACAGCAGAAAGGTGGAAGGCCACAAAACAGAATATTGCATACACTGACAGACATAGACACTGTATTCAGATGTTTTTGTTTAACTATGTTTGTCACAAGGCAAGATTTAATATAGGGTAGGGAAGAATGAATGTCAGAATCGTCTACTGTCCTGAAAGAAATCATTAGGAAATTCTGTTTTCCTCTGCATGCTTGTGTGCGATTTATTTAAGAAAAAATTTTCAAATGAATTAAATTTTCTCTGTACCTCCTAAAAAAAAAAAAAAACTTTGAGGGATGAAGCATAGTAGAGAAAACACTTGAGGCTTAGGTGGTAACAGAGGATTGCTCTGATGCCTGATCAACGAACTAGAAATGGTTTCAGAGTTTCACTAAATGATTTTGTCTCGTCCAGAGAGGAAAATTCCAACTCTAACTGGAAGAGTTAGCATGACATACCCTCATGCTAACTCTTCCAATTAGAGTTCAACCTCCAAATTCAATACAACAAATATTTATTAAGCACATTCTATGTTCAAGGCCTTGTCCTAGATACTAGGTATGGAAAAACAAAAATGAAATCAAATGCAGGGACATGACAAGCACACACAGTTAAACAAACATAAGGTAATTTGAAGAGGAAAAGGACACTGAATTCTAACAACCTATGAGGGAGTGGGCAGGAGGGTAGGGTCCAGGTACAGCAAACATTGAGAGTTAAACATCTTCCTGGGTTTGGCCTTTGATTCTGTGCTCAGTAATTCATTCTCAGTCAGTGGAAAGGAAGGTCTGAGGCTGCGTCATTTTATTCAGTGAAGAAAATCTTTTTAACTTATTGTTTTGTCATTGTGTAGAATGGCAAAAGAATCTATAATAGCAGTGCCTCCACTCTTTACCATTCCCTAGCCTGGGGCCATGTGCACAATAGGCTCTCCATGCATGAATGAATGAATTAATGAAAGACTATATAATTCCTTCCTTCCTCCCTCTCTGGCCCCTCACCTCTTATCTTCTAGTCCTCTATAGGCCTTCTCCTTTTGCTCTTATTTTTTCTTCTCTTCCTCTACATTAGCTTCCAATAGCACCAAATGGACCCTACTTTCCCATGAAAGGCATTCCTTGGACTGGAGGTATATGAGCTCTTGTGTATGTTATAGAACCTCTGATTAAACACTGCCATTTTCTCCTTTGGCTCTGACATAGGCTGATCTCGACATTTCTTGTCTCATTTTCAATATTCAGTTTTAGGGGCAGCCAAGCTTCATAAATGTTAGCAGAGTGCAAAGTTTAACAAATTATATGGTCCATGAATATGTATTAAAAACAAAGAAGATACCCAATGACTGAGAAATGACTAAATGATTGTGGTACATGAATACAATAATTTAAGAAATTATAGATAAGATGAATACAGAGAAGGATAAAGTCTTCTCATATCAACTGATGAGAAGGGAGGTAATTAGAACCAGAACAGTATACACAATGACTACAACAATGCAAACAACAACAACAGAATGATGTACAATTATAATGATCAAGCTTGGCCAAAAGAAGAGATGAGAAAGCACTTCCCTCTCTCCTTTGTGGAGGTGGGGACCATGAATGAAGAATATCATATATAATCTTGTACCTGGTATTCGTTTGGCTTTGCTAAACTGCTGTGTTTTTTTCTTCTTTTTTCATTTTTTATTATAAGGAATGGCTGACAGAAAGGCCATATTGTCCAGCTTAAATCATACATAAAAACAAATAATGTCAATAAAATATTCTAATGATCCATGCTCTTTGTCTTTTCATGGTCAACCGAACTCAGAATCACTCAAACCCCACAATATTTACAAGGGTGAAATGGAATATGACTTAGCCTCAACTAGAATTCTGGCCATGGGCTCAAATTGTATTTTACCTATCATAGTAAACAAGTTACAGTAGGAGGGTGATTTTTTTTTCATTGTCCTAATATGTGTGCCTAAACAAACATATTCTGTACCTTTTGCTCATGTTATTTGAAGCTAGTAAATGATAAACACTTGTACTCACCATTCTCCCTATAGTGAAAGGAGTTGAACAACAGGTTGAGTCCAATTCACCTGTCTTTCCCCAGTGCCTCACTGGATTTCATCAAAGACATGGCAGAGTGATACAGATGCACCCAGAATCCTGTTTTGAAGTTACAGGAGGAACAAAGGCTTGTGCTGCACTGATTTGTCCAACAATGCTTTCCTTCACCTCCCCCAGAATTCCTCTATAGGAGTTTAATTTATCAAATGAAGATTTCATTGCCTAAAATGATAAGCCTCACCTATTGTCATGTTCATCTCAAAGTAATAATAATAATATGACTCAGAAGTCAAGGTTCTCAGTTATTAGCATGTTATAGATTTCTATGGTTAATGATTGAATCAAAATACTCTTCCTTAAACTTCAAGTTATTATATCTGAGTGGATGGAAAAACATTTGCTAGCCTCAGGAACTAACAACTGTCCAACAAGAATTCAGTTTGCTTTCTCCTTATAAGGGTCATAAGGAAATTCTTTCTAGCCACTCAAGGATAATAATGCATGCAATTAGTTTTTATTGCCCAGAGTTACTCAAGCAGTCATTACTTTTAAAGGAATTTAATTGCCATAGGGATAGTTGCTGCTCAAAATACTGATATCTGTTAAACAATGTCTCCAGTGACCTCTTCCTGCATGTGAAGTAAATGTCAAGAAATAATGCAGAGAAGAATGGGAGCCATCAGAGGTAAGGGAAGGAGAACCACAAATACTTAGAAGTAAGTCACAGGCATGAGTCTTTTCCTTTAGAAAAAAGAACTGCAAACCCTGAGGAAAAATAACTTCCCTGCATTCCAAGGAATAAGGAAGATCCATCAGGAAAAGGGTCATTCAGTAAGGGTCAGAAGAAGAATTTAATTCAATTCAACCAAAATTTATTATGAAGCTGCCAGCCAGTGTGCTAAGTGCTGGAGATACAAAAACAAAAATACAGATAGTTCATTCCTTCAAGGAGCCTAGGATTGTGGATTTACAATTGCAAAGAGCCCTCAGAGGCCATTTAGTCCAATCTCCTAATTTTACAAATGAGGAAAATGAACCCAAGGGAAATTAATTGATTTGCTATGTTCAGTCACAATCATAAGAGGCAGCATTTGAATACAGGCCTTCTGACTCCAGGTACTATGTACTTTCCCACTTTGCCATAGTACCTCTTCCAAAGAGGTTTCATTTTATTCTAATGAGGAGGACACCATGGCCCTGACAAGAAGTATGGAAGTAGTTGTTTGATAAGAGATTACAATAAAAAATTCATCTGTCTTTCTTGAGGCATGCATGGATGTTTAATCTGATGACGTCTACTCATTTCTGGTTATTAAAAACGAAGACAAATAATATTGCAACAAGGACCGCACCATTGCTGTGGATTATGAAGATTTGGGTAAAATACTTTAGTCTTTGGGGACAGAAATCATGTTCTTATCATGGCTATCAATGGAAGGTAGGAACAGCTAAGAAGAAGGCAGATTCAGGAAGAGAACAGATGTTGAACAAGAAGGCTTCTGAGAATGTTATATCAACATTTGGTTCTGGTTTAAATTAAGGAATTATGAGTTCTTGGCCAAGGATGGACTGCTGCTAACAAGATCAAGCAAAAATATAACTGTAATTTTATAAATCTGATCAAAAAGGTTTTAAATTGAAAAGGGAAGGGAGAGATAACTGCTTTTATGTATTTACTAACTAAGATAGCAGCAATGGAAGTATCTACAACATGGGAGAAAACAAATAACAATAAAAATACTCAGTAATTCAAAATCCAAGAAGGTACCCAGCAATAAAATACACGGGCACATACTTCTCTATAAAAATACATACAGCATAGGTAAAAAGAAAGGTAGACTAGAGATCCTCACGCATGACTGAAATAGGACTATTCAAAAGGAACACACTAAATAACTGGGGTGCTATGTCACACTGGAATTAAAAAGACAGATACTCATGTGACAAAATCCAGGAATCTGAAAGGGAAAGGGATCTCTGAATAGAGATCAATGGAATGAGGCGCTAATTTTATCATGACAGTATAGTATGGATAGAAAGAGAAAAAAGATAAATAGTTGGGGGAAAAGATTACAAATAGCATGGAGGTTTGATTTAGTATTCGGAGGCCTACCAAAGCATTCTCTGTGCCAGAGGCAACAAATGTTGCTTAGTTTAAGCTCCATAGTACTTAATTTTTTGTAAACCTTTTAATATACAATATCTCATTGCCTCATTTGAGCCTCTGAATAATCCTACAATAACTTATTGTACCTCTCAGGTGCAATTGATCTTAATGTTCCCTTTATTATAGATTAAGAAACTAAAGCTCAGAGGAGTTAAGTGGTTTGCCCAGGGCCACATAGTTAAGTAAATTTTAGAAGCAGGGTTTTAACCCAGGTCCTATGACTTCAAGTACACAATAACATGTTGCCTCTAAACTAATAAATTCATCCTTGCCTCAGTGATCATTTCATTC